ACAAATGGTATTTTATTATTGTATGCAAATATAGTTATAGTAATATTAAATAATTCTTACATCACAGATTCCTTTATATGAAATGAACAATTTTCAGGGTGATACTTATCATAGAAACAGGAAAAGCATAAATTCACAGAGCACTATGCGCATCGTATAAAAGCATTTTCCTTACCATTAGCCACGTTTTCTTTGCATCTTCGGCTGAGTCGTTTGTGAAACGATTCTCAGCTTCCTGCACAGTTTGCGAAGCAGGTGATTTGTGCATTCCACTTTCTTTACCATCACCTTTTGCTCGTGATATGGATTATTAATTATAATGGACTGATACACATTACTGTCACCATCAGCGACAACAGCTTTATAAATCAGTCCATACATTTCCAAACTACTTTTAAAACCTTCCGCAATAATATCACTCTCCATGCTAGTAGAGCTTGCATTGCGGTCAAATTTTTATAGCATTTGTGAGCTTTCGGTTTGATAACTTTCAGCTCTGCCATATCACACACTGTGCAATATTTGTTGCGGATGCCGACGAAGAGAACTTTTCCTGTACGGTAACCTATTATAAGCACCAACACCGGAAGGTGAATCGTATTTATTGCCATACGATCTCTTCATCCAACTACCATCCGCTACAACGGTTATATATGGAATGCCGTTGACAATTTCATTTCTTTCTAGAGCAAGTTGCTCCTCAACTTCTGCAGCCGTTTTCACATATTTTCGAAGGCTGTTCTTTGCAAATCATCGGTTAAAGTTTCTTTTTGTATCCGAATCGGTGCAGGACCATAAAACCCGCCGGTGCGAAAGAATAGTTCCCCTTAGAAAATTCGCTAACTGCGCGGACTTACGGGGATTCGAACCCCAAGCTTGCCGGGTGATGGGTCCGTACACCGTCACCGCCGCCAGATATCAGTCTGCAAGCTCTAACACTTATTATGCGTTTGCTTGAGAATTATGACATGAAACATTTGAAACAGTCTTTTGCGAAACTCCATCTGTTTGCGATCCGTCCAAGGCGCCGCTCTTTGTGTCGACGAAATCAAGGATTCTCGATATCACGAGATATCCTGCGTGACTCTCGCGTGAGCACGCCGTGCGTGTTTGCTACCGGACACCGCGTAGTTGTTGTCACGTTTTGTCCGTATGTGACTGCCAAATATGGCAACGTCTTCGACAATAGCGGTTACCATATCATCTCCGAGCGACACAAAAACAAACAATACAGGTAAGATCGAAGTGACGAACGGCTTTCGGTTCCTCGCGTCGATCGGATCTTGTCTTCGCACGAAACCGCTCGCAAGTAATCTTCCGTTTTTCCGCTCCGTATTCGTGTGTTCTCAAATCAGCTGCTCGACCGCTCCGGTCGGACCTCATCGTACGAACTACGAGTGCGGCCTCAACGCATTGCGCTTCGAGCGGACGTGTTGCGTACGATCATATTAATCGCACATTGTGAAAGTTTATTTGTATTTTTTTTATAATAAAATTGGGATCGCGTGTTCGAGTCGTGCTCACGCTTCAACTGCCGAGCATTGGCCTCCCAGCGCCTCGACGAACGTCGAAGCTGATCAGGAAGGAAAAGGAGGACCGATCCCACAAGAAACAAAAGAGACCATTATCTTCCTTTTAAGTCGCACCCCGCGCTCATTGCTGAGCCGTCCCGGCCTCGTGTTCGCTGCGCCAAAGAGCGAACAAAAATATTGCTGGTCCTTCGAGCCGGATCGGGGAGTAAAGGAGGAGAGCAAATCGAAAAGCCGATTTCCGCCAGCCCGCATCCATGGAACGACAAGGACGATTACAGCATCAATTGAACGCCGCTCTCGACAACTTCAAAAAGCTAGGACGCAACAAATGGACGCCTGCGGTCACACGATCCAGGATCCAAACACTGAAGGAAATCTGGCTGCAGTTCCTCGATGGGCACGCCGTCCTGGAGAAGACGATCCCGCCGGACCGCCGGGCGCAGATCGTTTACTTCACCGACGATGTATTCGACGCTACCGAGGAGAAGTACAACATCACGCTGGATTATATGGCTGAGGTATTGGAGGAGCTGGAATCCCCTGTAAGCCCGAACCAATCTATTAACGCATCGTATGCTCGGCACGCGCCGTCTGCGTGGTCTCAACCGCATCTGCCGCCGATTCAGCTCGCGCCGTTCGACGGGACGCTGACGGACTGGGAGCATTTCCGCGATCGATTTTCCGCGATCATCATCGAAAATAAAGATTTAAATGATTTCTCGCGCATGCATTATCTGTCGTCATGTTTGCGGGTCGGAATGCATAGCGAATCTCACGATCGCCGCCGATAACTTCAAAATTGCTTGGGACGCTGTAAAGGCACGCTATGACAACAAGAGACGGTTGATTTCCGTTCACATGTCAACCTTGTTGAGTCTGCCGACGCTCTCGCGCGAGTCCGTTTCTGACCTCCAGTCACTTCGCGGACAAATCACCGTGACTGTAGCCGCGCTGAGAAATCTGCAGCGGTCGAACGATCAGTTGTAGGATGATATTCTCGTGCATATCGGCTCGCGAGGCTTGGATCCCGTCACGCGAAAAGCGTGGAATTTGCGAACCACCGAAAGTTCTGACCCGCCGACCTTCGACGAGTTCGAACGGTTTCTTGCCTCGCGCATCCGGACGCTCGAGGAATTCTCGAGCGGAGATAAAAATCAATCGACCGCTAAAGCAGTTCCGATATCGCGCGTTCATCTCGCAACCGATTCGCCGGCCGCGAAATCGCGCTGCCCGCTGTGTAAGGCCGGTCATTATTTCAGTGCGTGCCCGATCTTTGTCCGCGGGAGCTCGCAGCAGCGACGAGAGCTAGTGAAGAAGCATCGTCGATGCTTCAATTGTCTCAGCGCAAATCAAGGAGCTCATGAGTGCAAAAGCAAATATTCTTGCCGCACATGTTCGCAACGACATCATTCGCTGCTTCACGCTGCTGCGGATTCCAGTGGCTGCGCTGCCGAATCGCGCGCTGCGACGGAGGTGCATGAGTCGTTCGCCGGATCTCGAGCGGAGGTTCACGCGTTGCTCGCTTCGAACGACCGGACTCGGTCCGCTCACGTTCTCTTGGCCACTGCGTGGGTGACGGTCCGGGCGTCGTGCGGTCGATCGGTGACCATTCGCGCTCTGCTCGATCAGGGATCCGAGATGACTTTTGCTTCCGAGAAGCTTGCTCAAGCGTTGCGCGCGAAAAGACTCCGCATGCCGGTCGCCGTCTCCGCTGTGGGATGCGTTAACGCGGGGACTTTCCGGCATGCGATCGAGATCATCGTCTCACCCCGAGGAGCGGAAACTCCGGCGTTGTTCACCGCCGCGCTAATATTACGATCGCTCACGACGTATGCTCCGCATTGCGAGGCGGATGCGACGTGCTTGATGCATCTCGCGGATCTGCGCTGGGCCGATCCGAATCCGCTCAGCTCGGATCCAATCGATTTGATCATCGGGGCGGATCTCTATAGCGATATTGTGCGCGAGGGCCTTCGCCGAGGAGGCGACGGTCAGCTCATGGCGCAGAACTCGGTGTTCGGATGGTTTATCTCGGGTCCGATCACCCGGGCCTCAACTCCCAGGGTGCGGGCGTGCGCGCTCGCTACTCAGGCGTCGAGCGCAGCGATCTCGGCGCATCATTATCAGGCCGATATTTCACTCGAGGATGAGATGAGGAGATTTTGGGAGGTCGAGGAGGTTCCGCGAATTGTCGAGCGGACGCCCGAGGACGAGCAGTGCAAGAAGCACTTCGTCTCGACGCATTCGCGAACGACGGAAGGTCGTCCGGTTGCCGTTTCGCAGCGGACCGCCGATCGATATCGGATCCTCGCGCTCGCGCGCCGTACGGTGCCTTGCCGCACTTACGCGTCGTTTACAAACAAGGCCGGAACAAAGACAAGTTTTTGCGCGAATACGAACTCATCGGACATATGAGACGCGCGCCGGCTATTTCGGACGCGTCTTCGCAAGTCGTATACATTCCGCATCACCCAGTCTTTCGTTCTCATAGCACAACGACAAAATTGCGTGTAGTTTTTAACGCATCGAGTCCGACGACTAACGGCTCGAGTTTAACCGTTTGAGTCCCAAGCAGCGCGATCGCGCTGTTCAGATTTTATGTCGAGAAAACCCAGTACATTTCGATTATTGTGGACAATTGACGGTGCGTTACCGATTGTCGAAGTCGCGCGCTCAGATTTACTGAAGCAAGTATATCACACCGATCCTTTTAATGTAAATAGTACATTTTATAATAGGTAGAATAATACTATAATAATGCAATAATACATTACAAAATAAAAATTTTTATTTCATTGTTATCTTCTCAATAATTTTTATCGAACAAAACTTGAAATATTTATAAATTTACAGTACGCATATGTAATAATACAGATGTATTTTATAAAATAACGAATTACAAATTAACAATATTTTTGTGTTATGAACAAATAATTTAAATGGAGAGTAACAATTATAATTTGTAACATCGGTGTTTATCAAAACATGTTGGATGGATTCCTTTTGCTTCGTTGCTCCGTTGCTTCGTCTAATCATTTTGAAACACACAATTATTAACAATGAGAAACACTTACGCAAGAATACGTCCGATCGCTTTGGAAACTACAATAAATGTGACAGAGCGATGAGAAAAAGACGAGAATCGCGTTACCTAACAAATACAAGAAGCGGTATTGGTCCGATTGGGATTCATCGATGTAAAATAAACAAAGCGCTATCGCGCTGCTTGTTATTTCTCGACCTAAAATAAAACAAGCGCTATCGCGCTGCTTGGGTCTTTTCATACTCATTTATAGAAAGCGCGGTTGCGCTGTTTGGGATTCTTCGACAGTGTTTTTTCAATACCCCCTGGGACTCAAACGGTTAAACGACCATTTGATCGCCGGACCAAAGTTGCAGACCGACTTATCGTCCGTATTGCTGCGATGGCGTAATTTCAAATACGCGTGTTCGGCCGACATCGAAAAAATGTATCGACAAATTCAGCTCGATCCTCGCGATTTCGACTATCAGAGGATCTTGTGGCACCCGGCGCCGGATGACGAGCCGCGCGAATATCACCTAATGACCGTCACTTACGGCATGTCCTGTGCTCCGTTTCTCGCGTTGCGAGTCCTTCAGCAATTGAGGAGTGATGACGGAACCGACTTCCCTCTCGCCGCTCCGCTCTTGAAAAATAACATCTATGTCGACGATGTACTATTCGGGAGCGACATCGGGCAGACGATCGAAGTCCGGAATCAGCTCACAGCGTTGCTACGACGAGGCGGATTCGAGCTTCGTAAATGGTCCGGGAACTCAGCCGCGCTTCTCACAGATCTCGATGAGGCGAATCATGGACTCGCGTGCAAAAGATCACTCGCGACCGATGAGCGCGTAAAGATTCTCGGGATCAATTGGACGCCCGCGGGCGACAACTTTCAAGTTAGCGTGTCGTTGCCAGCCTGCGTCCCCGAGAGCAAGCGCTCCATTCTATCGACTATCGCCAAACTGTACGATCCACTCGGATGGGTCACTCCGATCACGATCAGCGCCAAAATCTTTATGCAGCAATTGTGGCGACGGAAACTCGAATGGGACGACCCGATTCCCGAAATGCTGGGGTCGCGCTGGCGGGCGATATTCTCGAATCTATTCTCCTTGGATGGACTACGCATTCCGCGATGGACCGGTTTCGGGCGCGATATTCGACACACGGAGCTGCATGGATTCGCGGACGCGTCTAACTCCGCGTATTCTGCCGTTGTTTATTTGCGACTAACAACACACTCAGATCAAGTAATCATCACGTTGCTCACCGGCAAATCACGCGTCGCTCCACTGCAGCCAATGAGCATCCCGCGTCTCGAACTTTCGGCTGCCGTGCTCCTCTCGCGTCTCGTCGATTTTGTGCGGTCTACGGGAGATTACGACAATGCAACATGCTGCTGTTGGTCTGATTCGACGGCCGTGTTGTCGTGGCTGGCGGCGCACCCATCACGATGGAAGGCCTTCGTCGCGAATCGGGTGGCGGAGGTGCACGCGCGTCTCCCGCGCGTTCAATGGCGGCATGTTCCGACGGCCGACAATCCCGCTGATTGCGCGTCGCGCGGGTAACTCGGCCTGGAACTTCTCAAGCACGATCTCTGGCGAGGCCCGTCGTGGTTGCCGTCGCCCCCGAACGCTTGGCCATCATTCGGGGATGCCTCGGCTGCGGAGGCATTGCGCGAGGAAAGGGTCGTGACGCATCTCGCCACTGAACCCGCATCGCTCAACTCTCTGCTCCTCGAGCGCTATTCCTCGTGGCCCAAATTGGTTCGCGTTACCGCGTACATCATGCGCTTTATAACGCTATGTCGTCGCCGTCTTACGGGAGACTCGTCCGGTGATCCAGTGGGCCCGGGCGTCACGGCGGACGAATTTTCTGGAGCGCGTACGCGATTATTGAAACAGATCCAAGCTGTGTTGTTCCCAAAGGAACTGCACAGGCTCGCGAATCGCTTGGAATTACCGTCGAAGAGCTCGATTCTTGCCCTTCGACCGTGCGTGCGTGCGTGCGTGCGTGCGTGCGTGCGTGCGTGCGTGCGTGCGTGCGTGCTTGCGTTAGGCTTCTTGAGATGTTTTACCATTAAAAAGACGCCAAGCACGACAGGACAATTTATAAATAAATATATAATACAAATGTAAATATATAATACAAACATCTATTTAATTAAAAATTATGTCATTTCAATCTATTTGCGTATTAATGAAATGCGATGGAATTTCGCAAGAGACTTTCAAATGTTTGATGTCATAATTCTCTAGCAAATACATAATAAGTTTTAGAGCTGGCAGACGAATATCTGGCGGCGGCGACGGTGTACGGACCCATCACCTGGCGGGTTGAGGTTCTCGATTTCCGTAAGTCGCAGTTGCGAATTTTCTAAAGGGAACGACCACCATTCCCTCGCACCGGCGGAGAAGTTATTATGGTCCTGCACTGACTCAGATAAAAAAAGTTCCCGCACCGGCTGGTTGCTGCCCCTAATACCGCTGTCAGATATTCGTTCTTTTGCTTATTTTTTTTTTTAAGTAAACTGTCAGACAGTGATGCGAATTTGGTGGGCTTGTACGAGAATTTCCCTCGCTATGCACGCACATACAGCTCGGTCTATCGGTGTGAGCCACGCGATCGGCAATCGTCGGCGCGCCGAGCGAGAGAGAATATCATTCCCTCCTTCTCGCTCTCGATCTCGCTCAACGAACGAGCCTAATTCTTTCTCGCCTATAATCTGAATCGCGGGCGCGACTGTCTCTCTCTCCTCTTCTCTCTATGACAATACTGAAAAGTTTTCTCTACTCGGCGCGCCGATATTATTATGCATAATACTTTATTATTAATATTGTTATTTGTAATATTTATTATTTATAATTTTATTTGTAATTGTGTAATAATGCTACTAATAATACAAATTTTTACAAATAGAATTTGTATCATTTGTAATATTTCTAATAGTATTAATAATATTCGGCGCCAAGAAAATTAAAAATATTTAATTAATTATTTTGTGTAAGCGAGCAGGTTTACAATTTTAACTGTTGAATTGTTTAATAATATTGTTGTGCCCGCGCATGAAAGAAATAACTCGAGATATACTAAACGAGAAAAGCTTTATTTACAGCCTAGAAAAACGGATCTCAATCAATTCCAAAATAATCGCACGAATTCGCTTTACGTCCGTACGCCGTGACAGGACTAGAGCGACTCTCTTATTATTCCAGTTGTTAGTAAACAAATTCCTTGACAACGATAACAGCTGTCAAACACTCTCTATATGCCTTCTTCACAGAGCGTCTTCTCCCAAGAGCGTGGGAACAATACGTTCCCCAAAGGTGTGGGCACAACACTGTCCCCTTCTCTTCCAAAATTGTCGTCCCGACAATCCCATGGAAAAAATTGTTCGTGATGCTCTTCTTCAAGTCTATCTCCAAAATTTCACGCCATCTTTGCTGCTCCAGGGCACCTTTGGCGATCCTTTGTCACAACCTGGACTGCTGTCTCAGGTTCTCTTGACTACGCCATCTCTTGTCCCAACAGCTACCAGGCCGAAAAGTTGTCGACGTGACTCTCGAAGTCCCAGCTCACCGCTCTTCAGCTTCTTCTTCGGATAAGGGGGGGGGTATAACCCGTGGACCCGACGTTCTTTAAAAGAACACCCCTAATCCCCGCCCCGGTATTCACCCAAAGCCCCACGGAAAAACCACGGTCAAAAACCGTGAGGAGGGCGGTCCTTAACGGATCTCAGTGGAAAAAGACGTCAGTGACTCGGAAAACGGAAAAGGAAAGAGGAATGGGAAATTCTGAAAAAGGAAAAGAAAACAAACAAGTATATGTATATACATGTATTGATTCTTTTAATTTTATTTAATATCTCTTTCTCGAAAAGGAGCCAAACGATCTGCATGAACCACTTTTCTTTTATGTTTGAAAGATTTGCCTATACAAAACACGACATCACTAAGTTTCTTTATAATTATAAAAGGTCCTTCCCAAGAACTTTGCAATTTCGGAGCTTTTCCTATTGTACGACGAGGATTGAAAAACCAAACCTTTTGACCTTGTTCAAATGTCACTTGTCTAGAACGTTGATCATACCAAGATTTGGTATTTTGAGACCTAATTTGAAGACGACGTCTAAATTGTGCAAGGAACTCTTTTAAAGGCACTGTCCCATCATAAATATCTGATTTTACTTTGACATCACAAAATATACGTTCTCTTTCAACATTCATTCTCGAATTTTCGAGATCGATAACATTACGAGATTCATTCTCAAAAATACTATTATTAGAAGGACTCATCTGTTTATCCAGTTTTTCTTCCAGGCGTTTAAAAGCTGAATCACGCTCCTCAAGCTGTGTTTTTAATTCATTTTGAATTCGTAGCTGTTCTCTCTGATCCTGCTGTCGTTCCTCCCTTAGTTGCTGCAACTCCTGAAGAACGGCTCATAATGAATCATCTGAGGTAGCCGGCGTCTGAGCACGAGTCCTCCTCGGCGAATGTGCCAAAGCCATTTCTTTTTCTTTCACTTTCACACACAAGCACATCTACGATTTCTATCGTTATTGATCCCGGACGAGCCCCCAAATGTTGTGCCCGCGCGTGAAAGAAATAACTCGAGATATACTAAACGAGAAAAGCTTTATTTACAGCCTAGAAAAACGGATCTCAATCAATTCCAAAATAATCGCACGAATTCGCTTTACGTCCGTACGCCGTGACAGGACTAGAGCGACTCTCTTATTATTCCAGTTGTTAGTAAACAAATTCCTTGACAACGATAACAGCTGTCAAACACTCTCTATATGCCTTCTTCACAGAGCGTCTTCTCCCAAGAGCGTGGGAACAATACGTTCCCCAAAGGTGTGGGCACAACAATATTTTAAGAATAATTTTAAGTTGTTCAAGGATGTAATATGAAATATAAAAGAATATTGTAACAGAATCAGGAAATACGAAATGAAACCTCCTTGCTTTTATTTCAATATCCTCTAAGTTAATAAATATTTTTCAAACATACAAACATTATATTTTTATTGAGTACCCACACAGCACTGCAATATTGCAGCAATATTGAAGCAATATTATAATATCGTAGCAATATTACAAAATCACAAGATTATTACATAATATTCCAGCAATTTTACCACAATATTGCAGAGTGATATATCAGATTACAATATCACTGGAATATTACTGCAATGTTACAATGTGACTATCGATGGCTATATATGGCAACATAGTAACAATATTACAACAATATTGCGAGATGATAAATCTCATTGCAATATCACAGGAATATTGCCGCTATACTCCAGCATGATAGACCGCTACGTAATATTTCTGAATATCGCAGTAATACTTCAATGTGATATATCAATCTACAAAATCGCAGAACTATTATAACAATATTGCAGAATATATCAGATTATAATATCAATGAAATATTACTGCAATGTTACAACGTGACTATTATATGGCAATATAGTGACAATATTACAACAATATTGCGCGATGATAAATCTCATTGCAATATCATAGGAATATTGTCGCTATATTCTAGCATGATAGACCACTACGTAATATTTCTGAGTATCGCAGTAATAATTCAATGCCATATATCAATCTATAATATCGCAGGAATATTATAACAATGTTGCGGAGTGATATATCAGATTACAATATCACTGGAATATTACTGCAATGTTACAATGTGACTATCGTATGGCAACATAGTGGCAATATTACAACATTATTGAGAGATGATAAATCTCATTGCAATATCACAGGAATATTGCCGCTATATTCCAGCATGACAAACCGCCACGTAATATTTCTGATTATCGCTGTAATACTGCTGTTACGTCCTGTAGATTTAATTAGCAAAAATTATTTCCTCTCGCGGATTTATATTCTCCTAATATAACTATAATAGGAATATATACATATATAAATATAAATTAGGAAACAGACCCATCTGGCGAACAGCCGTCGCGCCAAATGAAAGGCGATTCGAGAAAATTCCATAACAGGAAACAGTGCCCTGTTGTAAAAATCTTCATCTTCGTTTAAAGTTTATATCTGGGTAGTGTTCGCCAAGTGTGTCCATCGTCCTAACTATAAAAATTTGAAACTCCGCGCTAACAAACCTTCAATAAAACAAAGCAACTCAGAGCATTCCTGCTCTAAAACTTGAAACTTACATCTTCCCAATCCAAAACCATATGTGCCCTATCAGTTAACCAACAAAGTTTACTTCACTGATAGTCGTAAAATCTGATCTCAGCCTTTGATTTACGGCATTTTGATTTTTCCAGCCGGCCACTTGTATACATTTCTCTATCTCAAGAATCCACCACCTCCACGCTTGTCGCGCCTAATTCATTCAGCCAATCATATCATATCCACCTAAAACTATGAGACGCCCACGCTCCATCCTTTAGCCCTTCCATATTCATATCTCCAAAAACTAACTGTCTCCTCCCACGATGTCTTTTAACTTCGCTAATGGCTGAGACTTTTTCCCACTAAGACCAATTCACCCCTTCCTCAAAGGCCATCTCTCTGCCCACCC